GTGGGAGGGGGTGCGACGTTATTTTTAACATAACAGAGGGGGGTTAGAACTAATTTTTGTTTTGGAGGGGGGAACTGTCTAAGTTTTTGCTAGATAACTTTTTCAGCCCCCCCCCTCCTGATAATTATTGCACAGTCCCTAAAGTTTTGCTTGGATTCAACAATTAAGGTTGTTGGAACACCATCGTCCTATTCTATGCAAGTAGTCTCTTAAGTCTGCAAAGGGGTTCACAATATATTTCATTTTGAGGAATATAACCTGCCTAGTGTCGTCTACATAGCTCTGGACGCTGCATTTCTGAGGTGCTGAAGGAAGATCGATTAGTGTATATGCTAAATAAAAGTGGTCCGAGTATACTTCCCCGCTAAACGCCGCAGTTAATGGGTAAGGGCTCTGACAATGTTGAATGGATTCGAACCACTTGTCGTCTTTCATTAAGGTAACTACAAAACCACCGGAGAACTGAGTTTGAGGCGCCTACATCTTGCATTTTCAACATTAGAGTTTCGTGGTTAACACGGCCTTCGAAAGCCTTGCTCATGTCTAAGAACATTGCCAAAGTCAACATCTTTTGGTCTATCGCTATAAGAATAGTGTCAGTTGTTTCTATGACAGATGTTTCCGTCGAATGCCATTTTTGTTTTTGCATCTTTGGTCTCTGTTAACCTATCATTTAATTGCAATGTGAATTGATTGTGTACGACCCTTTCACAAACCTTTGATGAAACCGATAAAAGCGAAATTAGTCTGTTGTTATTTGCTAATTCATGGTTTTCAGTTTCAGTGAGAGGTCTTACTTTCTTACTTTCCAAGTGGTGGGAAATTTGCATTTTTCAGTAGAAGTGTTAATAATAGACGTGATTACTGAAAGAATCGGGGTAAGGTAGTCTTTTAAAACACGAACAGAAACCTTGTCCATCCCTAGGGTTTTGTTTGATTGCATCGATGATATTCTGCGTTCGATGTCAACACTGCATATGGTATTCAAATGAAACTGATCACTCAAAGGGTTTTCTAGTTTTCTGTTAGTTCAATTTAACAAGGGATAAAGATTTTACGCATGTAGCTTATTATTTATTGACATAAAGAGAGTTACAAACGATATGAACGCGTACAGAGCCGTAAATGATCTCGTGTCAAACATTATACTCAACGTGGAATATGGTGGAGTGCAGAATGGCAGAAAGACGGAAATGGTGAGGGCTGCATAGTAACGTAGACCTTACAAATCAAAAAAAGTTTCGTTTTATTTTTTCCCTAGGAAAAAAAGTGAAAGAAAAACGCTTAAGATGTTATTCCCTCTTAATCAGTAACACTTCAATGAATGAAAAAAAAATCATGAATGCGAGAAATGTAGCGTAAATCTAGTATACCAAGGAAACCTTTGCTTTTCAGTAATAACAAACTGTGACCAAAACAACAAAAATACATTATTCCTTTCAGCTACTGGCCCTGCGGCCTTACTTGAAGGTGCTTACATAGTTCACCTGCATTGACCTCAGAAACTCTGTCATGTAAACAAACCCCTGGCCTGAAGTTCTGATCACCGTTGTTAAAAACTTCCTGGGAAGTTGTAGGAGTAAAATTTTATAGTACCGTTAGATCAAACTTTTTCTATTGACAGTTCAAGAAAACTAACGGTTTTTTAGTACATGATGTGAAACTTAGTTTAAATTCCCAACGATTTGATGACGCGATTCAAATCCGGAAGTACGTGATATCATAAATACGGCTCCTCTGTATTCTTACTGACTATATATCATTTGTTTGTTTCCCGAGTGTGTAAAGTGGGACGTTTTACAACAACGTGAGATAATATTGAAACGCTTAAATTTGAAAGGAATGGCCCAAAACGATAATACGAGGCATGTCTGACTTACGGCAGGCCAATTTCAGTTACAGTGTAAATTAAAAGTATTCCCGTACTTATTTCAAACGTCGAACTTACGAATACCCTCCAATCTAGGTACTAAAATTCTTCAGTATCGTTTAGCATGGTGTTCTACAAGAGAGTACAGTAATAACTTCTTTTGGTAGTCTTATTTAAGTAGAATTAATCAACTTTAATTCAATTAACTTACAACCTGATATGACTTGAAACCGGGACATCTTAAAAACATGCTAATTTGTCTTTTTCAGAAAAGCCGAGGATAAGGGTACCTTTGTTGGAGTTGCGAACTGTACCAGAGCATTATATCTGGTTTCTGCTGGAAGGTACCCCACCGATTAACTTGACTCTAATGAATACATCAACAGCTTTGAAGGGCGATTTGGTCATAAAAGGATTCAAACTAAATCGTACGGGTACCTACCAGTACACTCTACTAGCAGAAAATGAAGAAGGAACTGATTCAATGACGGTTGAAGTAACCGTTGTGGGTAAGGATTCAATACTGTTAAATTTCATTTCAATGTAGATAATATAGGGAGTTTACGAGCAACTCGCTTGCTGAACGTAGAGGTACCAGATATCTGAGTTTACATCTTGGCGTTCTTTAATCTTTACAGCAGCTCATATATCTTGTTTACAGCATCAATTAACGAATTCTGCTCGACAACTAACTGTAACTAATCTCAACTACTAACTATCTTGGGCTAAATACTAGCAACTTATATAAGTAAAACGTAGGTACGTTCAGGCTTGCTGACCATGAGCGTAACAAACGCTTTTCCAAATGACTTAAACGAATTTTCTGTTGATAACCAAAGTGGAATAAACAAACCCATAAGAAAACCAATGAAAGCGTGACAGCTAAACCCACGAGGCTGTACCTTAAACCAAAACAGGAACTCAGGTGTAGGTAACAATCAAGGTCAGGGATGGTTCCAAAACGTACTTACTTCAAGGAATGACACTCAAATTTAATAAATGACATTCATGTTGAAAAACTACTTTAAAAGGCAATACAATTTAAAAACCTGTCGACACAAATACAGATTAACCTTGATCTATAAACTGATAATAACAAGACTTTAGTCACGAGTGAAACGTCAGGCACAAACACGAAATAAACTTAAAATAACCTACAAAATACTTCACAACATTCCTCCCTCCTTAGAAGAGGCATCGTCCTCGATGCAATTGGACGTATATAAATGAAAAAGTAAGGAACAAACGTAACTAGCGGAAGAACACTAAGGAAAATTTGAAAAAGTACTGAGGAAATAATGTGAAATATCAAAACGACTATAAAACTACCACTAATATTAATCAAGAGTTCAACGTTAAATGTCCAAAGTAGGTGAAAGTTATTGAATCCTGAGTGCTTGAAAACAAATGCATGTTAGCGTTCTAGTGTGAACATCTTGAAAAAGTTTAGATTGGTAGACACATTCATCTTGTAGGGGAATAGACAACGATTCGTGCTGCAATTTATCTCGTCTTGTAAATTAGCGCTGTCTGCTGACTTCATACTGAGGTTGTTTGAAGCAGACATTGTATATCTCGTGAATAGCTGGCTATCTTGCTTGTAACATATGCTTTTGTTACAACACAATATCATGAAAAAGCAGCGAACTTATCTGTTAAAGATAGAATGTACTGGCCAGTAATAGAATAAACAGGCATAGTTCGCCTTAAACATAACCAAGTAGAGGTCAAACTCCACCGCAAAATCGAACATAGCACGGCCAACGTTTTAAATTCACGTGTGTTTTGACTTCCCCTCTTCTCCAGTTATGTATAGTTCCACTTCACAGGAGTAGATTAACGAAAATTCGAAGAACCACTGAATAAATGATGAATTACCATTACTAACAAGTGAACAAGATAGCTACAAAAAAGGACTCCAGCTATCTAATCACCTAAAACGTACGACTCAACAAAATAACATAATACCCAATCTCAAACAAAATCTATCATTCAAAATCACAAATCGTCATTTACACTCGACAACATTTAAAGCTTGGTAGCTTGTCAAAGTATCGGACACAATAATCTTAGATAAAGAAAGAAAACTTACTAAACTTAAAGATGAAAAGCTTACATAAAACACTAACACTAGAAAGATTGGAGAGAGAGAGAGAGAGAGGACGCTCATGAATCCATCGATGAAAATAAGTTTGGGAAAAGTGAATAGAAGTTTAAGTAAAAACACAAAACACAAACCCAGCAGCAAGGCAGATTACAACAAACTATAGACTAAGACTAGTTTGGTGACCGGAGATAATTATCAATGAGACGTTTATCCAAAATATTTTCTTCCGGTTTACACGTTGATTGGCTTTAAGGATAGTTGAGCCACTTGACCAAGTATTCAACCTTTCCGTTTCTCTTTCGATGTTTTAGAATTTTTCTGCACTGAACACAGTTTTATTGTCGATAACAATTGCTTCCGGAGATCGTTCTTTTTCATTTTGAAGCTGATTCTTTGTCTTTTCTTGGTCTGATTCTTTGTTTGATTCTTTCTCTTCATGAGATTGTGGGCTCACTAACGCTTGTTCTCCAACAGGATTTAATCCAATGTCTAAAGGATTCTCTTCAGCATGCACAGAATTATTTGGCTCAAAACAATCTTTTGGAATATCAGATTCATCTAAATATGGCTCGGCAGGATCATCAAAAAGCGGAGAATCAATTGGCCTCAAAATTGGATCAACAAACGGCTTCATACGATTTGCGTGACTCGAAAAAGCAACTTTTTTATTGGCGACGTGCGCAACTTAAAATGCACTGGCGACAACTTCTCAACGATTCTGTATGGACCCAACCAGTTATGCATTAACTTTTTGGATAATCCTTTTCTAGTTCACGGAGTATAAACCCAAACACGTTGACCAACTTCAGAAACAGGTTCTTTTGTCTGTTGATCGTAATAATCCTTTATTTTCTGTTGAGCACGTTGTAAATTTTCACTAGCTAGATTTTGCGCTAACTGGACCTTTTCGACAACACGTTTTCGATAGTCAAGGACCGAAGTACTCAAATCATCAGCCGCAGCAGGTAAATACTTAAGTTCAATTGGCAAGCGTGGCTCTCGCCCATAAAGAACGTAAAAAGGAGAATCCCCAGTCTCATGTAAAACAGAAGTCCTATGCGCAAACAAAATAAGCGGTATCAACTCGTCCCAATCTTTCTGGTTTTTGGAAACGTACATTGACAAAGACTGACACAAGGTAGAATTAAACCTTTCTACAAGACCATCGGTCTGTGCGTGATAACTGGAGGTATTGATCTTTTGAATTTGAAATGAGTTACAAATCTCTGCAACTACTTTAGATAAAAATTTAGTTCCCCTGTCAGAAAGCAACACACGTGGTGCCCCATGTCTAGAAGTACTTTCATCAACCAAAAGACGTGCAATAACAGTTGCTTGTACACTAGGCACTGGGGATGCTTCGACCCAACGAGTCAAATAATCACTAAAAACTACAATATACCTACTGCCTTTACTAGAAAGTGGAAAAGGACCTAAAACATCAACATCCACTCTGTCAAATGCACCCTCGACTGGAATCGGAAGTAAAGATGCCTTTTTCGAATTTCGAGGAGACTTCCTCATTGAACACTCAACGCAAGAATTAACCCAATGTTCTACATCTTTAAATCATCTTTCCACCAGCATGCTTGGTTGAGTTTACTAAAAGTTTTGTTCAAGCGAAAATGAGCACCGGCAATATGATCATGTACATTAGGGAGAATTTCAAAACGTAATGCAGCTGGGACAACAAGCTGAGAAAAAGATTCACGAGCATTATGCCTTCGATTAAAATCAATGTGGTAAAGCAAATCACCTTGACACAAAACAAAAGAAACCTACCCCACTAGACCGGGGTCCCCCACTCCATATAAACAGGGTCTTAATATATCATCGGGGCATTTATTAATCACATTTTATTTTTTCTCACATCCTCTCTTATTATTGTTACGCATCATTTTCCTGCGCACAATCTGGCCAGCAAAACGTCATTTTCAACGTGAAATCGGCGGATCAAAAAAAAAAAACTCTCATCTCCTACGGGTCCTTACCATCATAATTTTCTTTCTTTTTTACGATCAGTGACATCTCAAAGTTGTAAATAATTCCAAATATTGACCTACCCGAAACACAAGTGACAACATACTTTTTTTACAATTAACCTTTCCTGTGATGTACCTGCTGCTAAAAATGCTAGTTAACCCACAATCTAGTACATGTAGATGTTCCAGTTCAATTTTGTGTTGTGGATTAATTTTATCCTTGGTTTAATTCATATTTCCCAAATTTGTCTTGTGCTATAATGTTTGAAAAGGAAGAAAATACAGTTCAATTCAAGAGTAACATTTCACCAAAACACATAAGTTATAACTCATGATATGGTTTGAGATATTCGTTTCGGGTCGCCAACTTAGACACCGTAAAAGGTACTCAAGAAAAAACGCGTGCTGAAAAAGGGCAAAAAGTAAAGAAAGTGAAAACTGTAATGCAGTTAGTTACGATAGAATTTTAGCCAAGAGATTGTAAAATATTGCACTTTGGACACTGAGTATACATAACAGTCAATGTAAAATTATCATAATATTTGCAATTACACTACCTCGAGTTTACAGCATCATAGTACTAAATATCTCTCATAATTTATCTCCTAATTTATAGCGACCCAATGATCGCCAACGTGAACCTCGCGCACTTTACGGACCGAAGAGAGCTCTTCACAAATTGTACCCCTTTCGTCGGTCCGTACCGTCCAACGGTAAATACCCACTCTTGCCATATCATGAAGATATTCTAAGTCCCACTAATGAAATGCGATTTACAGACCGTATACCCCCTTTGTCAATCTGTTCGATCCGTACAGATCGACAAACCGTATATAACCACTCTTGCCATGAAGATATCCTAAGTCCCACTAATGAGATGCGATTTACGGACCGTAAAACACTCTTTACAGACCGTATACCCGTTTTGTCGATCCGTTCGATCCGTACGGATAGACACATGGCTTATACGGACCGTTACGGTGCGGGTGTATTGGACAACCCTCTAAGGAATCCATGTTTATAAAATGGGAGAAGCCCGATCTCAACCAGCAGGTGAAACACATTAACCTGACTATCTCCCTGTAAGAACTAAGCGTCACTCATTTAATTTTTTGTTTTAGTAAGTAATATCGACGACGCAATGTAACGAAATTTGTAAGATCGCGCGCGCTTTAAATGCAACGACGATTTCAAAATATGTAACACTGAAGATGACAGATATACCGTCGAAACTTGTCTGGAAAATTAAAGAAAGTTGTTATGTTTATACGACTATCTTTATTGTTGCTGCTATCTAGACCTTTTAGAGATATGATTCTTTTAGTTGCGTGGTCAAAAATACTTAAAATACGTTCCGAAGACAATGACCAACGAAGTGAGCTACGATTAGTAACTACAGTGAAATTACGATTGTGTAAATAAGGCTGAAGTTTCTTAATACCTTCATCTAGTGCAAGCGCTTCTCTCTCTGCATGTAGGACTATAATTTTGGTCTACCCGATTCAAACCACGAGCATTGTTAGCAATGACTACTTTCTTTACATTTTGAATTTGCACTTAGGTGAAACCAATACCAGTGGAGCTAGCGTCAACAAATAATAAAAATGGTTCCCGAAAGTTAGGATATGCCAAAATCGGTGCAGAAACCAAGGCACGCTTAAGCTCGTCAAAAGCCTCGGCACAAGCTACAGTCCAATCAAAAGGAACGTTCTTCTTTGTCAAAGCATTCAAAGGGTTGGCAATATTTGAAAAACTTCTTACAAAACGTCTGTAATAATTAAGCAAAACCTAAGAAACTCCTCAATTCCTTCAACTTTTTGGGGGTGGAGAATTCCTGAATTACCCTTACTTTGTCTGGATTGGGACTTATGCCTTCTGGCGTAACTACGTGACCGAGATACTCTAGTCTTTGTTTAATGAAACTGCATTTCTCTAGATTCAACTCAACATTGGCGTCACACAGCCTTCTAAAAACTTCCTCCAAATGGACTAAATGCTCATCTACAGGTTTAAAGAAAATGATTATATCATAGATGTAAATCAAAGCAAAACGGTATTCTAAACTCTCAAAATATGACCCATAAGTCTTTGAAAACTGGCTCCTGAATTCACTAATCCAAACGGCATTATCACAAATTCATAAACGCCGTTGTGCGTAGCAAAGGCTGTCTTTTGTTGCGAATCCTGGGGATCAGTTGGTTAGAAAATCCCTTGTACAGCATGTCATTAATACTGGTGATGCTATGCTTATCAGGCAAAGGCCGTATAGAGTATATCCTGATGTTTTGGTAAAAAAGAAGGATGGGTCATATAGATTTTGTGTTGATTTTCGTAAAGTTAATAAAGTCACTAAAGTAAATAGCTTTCCAATGTCTTTAGTTGCTGATGCGCTAGATTCTTCGCTGGTGCAAGCGTGTTTTCCACGTTGGATCTCAGAAGCGGATTTTGGCAGATACAAACGCACCAGGATTCACAACACTTATAATAGTTTGCACAAACAGCGGTCTTGAATTTATTCGTTGATGATTCAGTTCCATTCGCTGAAAAAAGGAACACAAGAATATTGAGACTAGTTGCCCTTGTTTCGCCATTGTTTTCAACACAAGTAGTTTGTGTCCATTAAGGTTTGTAAACAAAAAAAGATTTACCAAAATATTGAAAAATTTGGTTTCATCCTTGGTCAATGAGCAATTATGAACATTGGTAATTGTCTTTTAATGAATATCGAAGTGTATTGCTTTCTTAAAAATTCCCCTACCAATTGCCTCATTCATGCGTCTAATCATTTTGCAGATTGCAAGCATTTGTGTCGCAGTAAAGGTTCGATAACAAGTTCTGGCCAAGTCACCAACGAACACGACTGTAGAAAAGGCAATATAACACATAACTGGAATTGTATTCCAACTACAGCCACTATATTGTAAGTGTATTTCCTACTTTACTTTCGATTAATTGGCCTATTGGTTTCTTATTTTACAACTTTGGACCCATATTTATGTTTTGTCTTAAAATTTTCTTACTCTATTTTATTAGTCTTTAGAAAGGTCATCGTTTTATCCGAGTTTCACACAGGAACTATCAAATGCTCCAAAATGACTCCAAAGGAAATGAAATATTTTCGCACTACTACTTGTTTTCTTTTAACGAGACAAGAGCGTTGCTTTCTAGTAAAAAACGCTTTAGAAACTGACGATCAACCTAGGACTTTCAGATGAGCGCGCACACAATGCAAAACTTGCCCTTTCATTCACAACGTAATGAAAGTTTTGTCACGCATTCACCTTTACAAACGTTATCTATAGCATAAGCTGCCGCACACTATTGACTAAGATGCACATGGGTCAATCAGTGAGATTACAAGGCGACAGATCTAAATGAAGAAAGAAATGATACATACTCATCAAAACCTGATGCTATTTAAACCTTCCACATTGTTCAAGCCACAACACATGTTTTTTTTTTTACACCAATGAATCACAGAGCTTTGCAAAAGCCTTGTCTTTTTAATCGGCGCTCAAAATCCGCCAAAAAATCAAATCAATAAACGCTGCTCTATCCGAAGTAATTTTTTTTTATACATTGCCATGTTCCCGGCCACCAATATCTTTGCCTTTACACGCCCATGCAGACATATCCTCGAATCCCTTGATTC